CGAGCAATGTTTGGATGCAGAAATGAGATCATCGATCTTTAGTCCTCGGCTAATGGAGGTACAATGTTTTTAGTTCCTGAATTTGTTAAATTATGACTTGTTTCGAATTCACAGATTCAAATGCATAAAAATTATCATGGACAAGCATTAAAAGAATAAATTTGTAACAGTTTGGTACCTTTTTCCTATATATTGATTGGGGAAACATATGTAGGCAGTCATATGGTTCCTTGCAAGATGGTCTTTCACATATCTGATGCTTGTTGAAGACTGCAATTTGGGTAGCAACCAGCTACAGTCTCTCCCTTCCAGAGCATGTTTATTCACGTTTTTCAACGAACACAATCAGGGGAAGTTTGTCCTTGATATAATTGTCCGGATCTCCTTGACATCGCTCATGTCTTACCCTGGTGAAAAGGACTTGCAGGTAGTATCTTTGGTCATTCTAAAAATGTTATTAGTTTTGATAACTGTCGCACAATGGTATTTAACAGTGTACAAATACTATTTTTTGTCTGTTGGATGGATATCTCATTCAGTTAATTGTTTACCTCTACAAATTTTGATAACTAAAGGACTTTAGGCTAGGGAATCCAATTAGCTACAGCGAGAATTCTTTTATAGTTTAATGTGAATTTCTTATAAGCTATGGTTAACTGTAGGTTACTTAACTCCCATTTCTTCAAGAATGGTATTCTCCTAATCTTTTTTTTTCTTCGTTCTCTGCAGGAGTTAATATGTTTTCAGTTACTGCATGCACTTGTTCGACGAAGAAATATCTGTTTTCATCTTCTATCACTGGTGAGTTCAGAAACTCGCCATAGTCAAGCGTAAATGGGGCCGATTTCTCTATCTCGCTTTGTTTCCAATACAAGTGACATTTGTAACTTAGCCTTTCACTCCTCTATTACTTTTTATTGTTTTCCAGAATCCACAATCATTTCTGTTTGCATAAAATTGCTGCTAGAAAAGCTATTTTGTGAATCACTCAGCTTATTTTATCTTTATCACTGGGAAAAAGCCTTTTCCTTCTAGATGAATTTATTTCTGTTTTGTTAGTATCTAACTCTTTATGCAAAACGTTCAGGACTCTTGGCGTAAACTGGCAAATGCTTTTGCAAATGACAAATCATTGTTTTTGCTAAATAGTGGTAGTCAGGTATATTCCTAAAGTGTGCATTTTGGCCCATTTATATCTACGATGTTCTGTTTCTTGAAATGATGTTTTACTTCTATTCAGCGTTCATTGGCTCAAACCCTTGTTCTTTCTGCTTATGGAATGCAAAGTTCAGATGCATCAAACCAGTGAGTTACCAAAATCTGTGCACCTCGCTCACATCTTAACCATAAATTTTGCCTGTCCAGTAACCTTCTTTCTATTTTCGAAAAGATATGTGAAGGACCTCATGGCTCATATGACATCATCTTTAGTGGACTTGTCAAATAACAGTGACCTCAAAAATTTGGCTCAACGACCTGATATTATTATGCTGGTGAGGAAGGAGAACACTGTGAAAACTTAGAATAAGTTATTGGTAAATCCTTATAAACAGGATGTTTTTTCCGTATATTGTGTTAGGTGAGCTGTGTGTTAGAGCGGCTTCGAGGAGCGGCAAGTGCCACTGAACCTCGGACACAGAGAGCAATATATGAGATGGGATTAGCTGTCATGAATCCTGTACTTCGTCTTCTCGAGGTTTACAAACATGAGGTACTGTTCAAGGCGCAAATATAGTGATCACATGTTATTCGGAACTGTGATGAAGTCTATATACTTAACATTTAAATACTGATGGTGTACTATACTCTACCTGTCTTCAAAATCCTTGTGATTGGTTTTTGAGCCATTATGGTTACAAAACCCACTAATTTTTTGTTATTGCTTAGTCTGCAGTAATTTATCTTCTCCTTAAATTTGTCGTGGATTGGGTGGATGGGCAATTATCTTACCTAGAGGCTCATGAAACAGCCGTGGTTATTAATTTCTGCATGAGTCTTCTACAAATGTATTCATCACACAATATTGGGAAGGTAAATATGTTCCTCTATCTCTTCCATACTTCTCTGTTCAGGTTGAGTGTCATTGTTTGAAAGTCGACAAGAGAATTTTTTTGTGTACCCTCACATACACTTGTTTTCTTCGACTTCAGATATCATTGTCTCTATCGAGTACCTTGCTTAATGAAGCAAAAACCGAAAAGTACAAGGATTTACGCGCTCTGCTTCAGCTACTTTCCCATCTATGCTCAAAAGATATGGTAAACGTTCTTCTTGCACGTACTGTAGAAAATATAACACATTCACCAGTATTCCTTATCTTCTAACAACTGGTACTACCTTTTTCAGGTTGATTTTTCATCTGACAGTATTGAGACACAAAGCACAAATATATCCCAGGTAAATCAAGTTAGTCACAACGAACTTGACAAGAATTGTTTGTGTAATTAATCCTTTGAAATTGCAGGTGGTGTACTTTGGTCTCCATATAATCACTCCACTTATAACTTTGGAACTCCTCAAATACCCTAAGCTTTGTTTCGACGTAAGGCTTTGCATCAACCATTAACCAAACCTCTCATAGTACTTTTTACTGTTGTAATTTTCACGTAACTATGAATTTCTGCAGTATTTCTCGCTCATTTCACATATGCTTGAGGTTTACCCCGAGACGCTCGCACAACTCAATAATGACGCATTTAGCCATGTACTTACAACAGTTGACTTTGGTCTTCATCAGCAGGTGAAGTAAAACCTTCTTTCCAGGGATAGTAAGCAATCCGTTTTGCTCTTGCTTTACAGCGATGTTAAACCAAATCTATTTATTAATATGCTTACCAGGATGTAGATATAGTGACAATGTGCCTGAGAGCTCTAAAGGCTCTTGCATCATATCACTACAAAGAGAAAAATGCTGGCAACTCGGGTTTGGGTTCACACGCTGCTGGACACACAGATCCAAATGGAGTATTCCATGAAGGAATACTGAGTCGATTCCTTCGTACTTTACTGCACTTCCTTCTTTTTGAAGATTACAGGTTTTAAACTATTTACCAATATCATTCAAAAGTGCTCTCTCGAGTGGGTTGTGGTTGGTTAAAGTGTCTTTACCGTTTTTCTTGTTACAGTACCGACCTAGTCAGCACAGCAGCAGATGCCTTGTTCCCTCTTATTCTCTGTGAACCAAACCTTTACCAGGTCTGTATTTATCGGTCTCACTTTAAAAAAAAAACGTAAAACCTGAGTTTCTGTGTCTGAAACCGGAGTAACCTAACAGTCTGTGCTACCAACCTCTAGGGATTGGGAAACGAACTGATTGAGAAGCAGGCGAATCCGAACTTTAAAACTAGGCTAGCAAATGCGCTTCAGGTGCTCACGACGTCAAACCAGCTGTCCTCATCCCTGGACCGTCTTAACTACCAAAGATTCAGAAAGAACCTCAACAACTTCCTTGTCGAAGTTCGTGGGTTTCTGAAAACTAGGTGACCGCATTTTTCAGAACTTTTTTTTTTTTTTTTTGTAAAAACAAGTTAGTTACTTTGGTAGAAGAAGTAAGTGGCTTTTCCGTTTGTAACAATTCAAAATTTTACTTTTAACTAAAACGCAAGCAAAAAAACCCCATTATTGGACCCCAAAAAATAAAAAGACTATGATTTATATAAGCAAATGTTAAAGAAATCCTAGTGGGACATGTGTATGAGAGAGGAGGGATAATTACTCCTTTCATTTAGGATATCATTTAAGATATATAATACCATATAACAACACAACCTAATTATTAGTATCAAATTTTGTTAAAAAGCACAGCTTAATCTATTTATTTTTTAAATCAATTACCAAATCAGAAATATTAATTATATATAATACCATATACAACACTACCTACATATTAGTATCATTTTGTTAAAGACCACAGCTTAATATATTTATCAACCATAATTAAAATAAAATTAAAAATTAAAAACAATGAAATCATGCATTTACTTTATATATATTTACTGACCAGAATGAAAATATATGCAATAAATACTCTTTGACCATTAATACATAGTCCTTAGTAAATGTTACAAGGAAAAAAAAAATCAAATAAATTAAATGTCGATAAATTTTTCTGTTAAATAGTAAATGTTTTCTCGCAAATAGAAAAAAAAAAATCAAAAGACCAAAAGCTGTATAAATAGATCATATAGAATATTTCACAATAGGTTTCATATACAAACAAAAAGATTTTATCATGGGTAAAATTGCTGTGACTTGTATTCTTGTAATAGTATTTACAATATCGTTGTACGATAGGAATGTTTTAGCCTCAGGTATGTTCAAATTTTGATTTAGTAACTGAGATTAGTGTAATAGGTAAATCAGTCATGAAGAATTTTTGATTATTTTTTGACTTCGTATCCATATGTCTATGTTGTTGTAGCTGTTTTCTATATTAGTTATGAGGGTTTGTTGTGTAGGTGCAGAAGTGGTGGAAGGAAAAATCTCATATGCCCACTGCCATCCTTTATGTACGGATTATTACGGATGGTTTCAATGTTTAACTGACTGTTTAAATTCAGGTTTCGCAAAAGGCGGAGAATGTGTTTCTCCTTCTCCTAAAGATCCTAAGAAATGTTGTTGTAAACCCTAATAATTATTGTATAAACGTAATCCTCTTCCTAGCCTAATTAATGCTTTATTATAAGTGATCCAGTGTTATAATAAATTGGGAAAAAAAATATGATAAAATTTAAAATACGTATTATATTCATCCTCTTCTTTAATACACTCATCATCTTTTTTTTTTCTTTTTTTTTTGGGCAAAACACTCATCATCTATGTTAAAGAAAAACAACAGTAGAGTATTTAAAAAATAAAAATAAAGAAAGGAGATGTAGACGTTGTTAATGTGCTCGAACCTAATGTGGAAACAAAATTGGAAGCCTGCAAAGAGCGAACCAAACTTGGTCGACTTGTGATTGATTAGTGCCTTAGTGGGCACGTCTCTGTTGTCCTAGTCATGCTTAAAAAAAGGGAACGGCTACTACTACTAAATTTACCAAGTTGTGAGGCTACAACTTTCATGAGGTATTCTGTTGTTGAACCAATATATCAAACTTATAAAACTCGTTGAGAAAAAAAAAGATGCATAGGGGATATATTGTGCTCGAAGCCTATTATGCTTTGTTTTGTTTTTCTCACTTTTCATGTAAGCCCTCGGGAATGCCATGGATCCATCACTTGTGAAGTATGCTCTTCTTCACTGTCTTTTGCTTCTTATTGCTGTGATGCTGCAAAACAGAGAACCATCATGATTCAGAATTACATACTCATAAGAAAATTAATTTCTACACACATGTATCTATCAAAAAAGTCATGAGTCTATATACTTGCCTTTTGTCTTTCAGCAGCCTCCTGGTCCGTTCTCTCTTTCCAGCTGCTTTTTCTTAGTTTTATCGGACGGTTTCCGACATACTTACCTGTGTATTCATATGAAATCGATGGACTAAATCAATGCGATAACACGTCACTCAAAATCAATTAGATAAGCTATCAAGATGAAGCAACACATCAAACAGATTGTACAGGTGCTTACCATTCATTTCTTTTAGGGCTGCAGCTAGATCCGCAGGATTTGAGAAACTCACAAACCCATAACCTTTGGTTTTTCCAGTCCGCTTATCTCTAATGACCTGTCATGATAGATAAGATTCTTATTTTCTGTAACTTTGACCACAAATCTAACACTGAATACTTCCAAGGTATATATATATAGCCAAATACAATTTTAAGATCAGCCATGTTCATTTCTGTACATGCTATATATGTTTTAGCAGTCTAGCCAACCAGAAGGAATAAAAAAATACAACAATCACATGCCGAACGTCTCAAAAATATATGCTCATAGAAAACCAGGTACGACTACGAACCATCACTAAACGCGAAAAGGAGGAGAAATATAAACAGTTACCTTGGCCATATTGAAGGTGGGGAATCGAGCAAACGCTTTGGAAAGAACATCATCATTCACCTCATTCCCAAGATCACCACAGAACAATCGATAGTCATCTGCCAAATGTGCAAACAGAAACATGTAAAAAATCCGATTTAACAAAAAGTAAAAATCTTAGAAAAAGCCTATTTCTGAACAGCTATGATATGATATCATCCGGCAAACTAAAAGAACAATCAGAGAAATCAAGAGAAAGAAGAAGAAACGCAGTGCTTACTTTCTGGCCACTCTGAAAGAGTAGGATCCTCCCAAGACTGTCCAGCAGCTTTACGAGGAATGGCTCTCTTTTTAGTTTCTGCTTTGTGTTCGGTTTCACTACTTGCCAAAGCAGCTTTCACATTCTCAAGAGCTTCTGGTGTGATGGTTTGTGCATCTCTTTGGAACAATTGATGAGCCTGCCAATTAAAAAGACAGCATATGAGATCCGTAATCGGTAGATCTCTTGAAAGAGCCATGCTTTATGTGACAAGCATTACACAGCTTCAATCCCAACAACAACCCAAAAAGAAACCCTAAATTTAAAGCAGGGGAATCTCGAAAACCCTAATTCAATCCAGAAATCTCAAAACTAGGAATCAAATACTCAGGATTTCCAAAAACCAACAAACCTGTTGGTACTGAGGATAAGCGTAGACGGCAGGAAGCGGTCCAGCAGGCTGCGGATAGACCGTGGCTCCGGGAATGGAAGCTACCGGCGCCGGAACAGCAGGCGAAGGCGTCACGTAGGGCTGTGGAGGAGGCTGGTACGGCGCGGAATAGTAAGAATTAGCTGCGTATGTATATTGAGACGAGGAAGATGAAGAAGAAGAACCTGAAGACGGTGGGATTGACATCGGAGAAGCAAAACGCCTAATCGCACACAATCGGAGATTTACTTGATTCGATACGTCAAATTTAGTTTTTTTCCTTTTCTCTTTAATTTATTTTTCAAACTTAAATTGGGAAAATTCGAGAAAGTGCGATTTTTCAAAATAATGGGCTGAGGCCCAATAGTCTCTTTAACTAATATGATTTTGGACCAATATTGGTTCTTAAACCAGACAGACCAATGGAGCAAGTAATTAAACCGAACTAAACCCTTTTTGACCAACTAATTTTCTTGTTGTTTCTCCGGAAAAAAAATCTGGTCAAAAGTCTAAAATTTGATAGTCGCATTGAAAACAAATAGCAATTTAGCAAGCAAGTACCACATTTATTATAGACAACACTGTACAAATGTTCGACAGAACCAGAAAGAAAATAAAAAAAGAATCCCAAAGTGGATCTATAAAACTGTGTAACAAGGCCCCTCCCAAATAGGGAAAACCACACACATGTGGGTGGTGCCATAATAAGTTAAGCAAAACACAAAACATTTACAATATTTTCTTACAGCTACGTCCAAAGCCTACCTCGTACGGACACATCGATTTCATTAGTCCACGTGGCTCAATCATATCATGTGAGCCAGAGGGCCAATAGTCCAATACTGATGAAACTCGTCCATACGATCTTTTATTTAACTCTTGAGTGCTCCCGAGAGTCGAGAGAAAGAGAGAGACCAACACTGCTCTCTTCTCTTCTCTCTACTCTAACGTTAGCTTTTAATTGATGGGGACTACTTAAAACATGACGCATATTACCCTGCTTACATTTTTCTCGTATCCTTTTCATCTTGACCGTTCGATCTGAATATGAATCTGAATCTGATTGATAAAGAGATATAGTGATGAAAACATCAGACCGCCATATATTGTATGTTTGGTAATTAGTTCCAATTTCCCAAGTACATACATCATCAGTTTAATACAATATTGTCCAAAGTTTCCAGTATGCTACATGCAAATGTCACTGTTGGTAACAAGGAAAGAGCATTCAAAACAAAACGTTAACATCAATAACGTTGCTGAATGATTTAACAAAGGCAAAAGAAAGGAACTCATGCGTGATCAAATTTTAAACTTCTAGATTGTATATATTATACGAGTTTGAATATACTGAGATAGATAGTGACATATCAACACGAATTTGTATTGTGTGTACAATATATATGTATATGTCCTGGTGAAAAACTTTTTTAAAAAATATATATATTTCTAAAATTGTCAAATCGACGTTCGGCTGATAAAAGAAGTTGGAAAGAAAATTTGTCACAAGATTAGCTGTCATCAATAATTGAAACTATATATCTTCATCTCTTTTTTTTTTTGTCTTTTTGTAATTATATGATGCGTTTTAGATTTACCCTTTCAAAATTTGTATATTTTGTGCAACATTCTCTCCACCCACTCATGCATGTTTAGTCAACATCAATTGTGGAAAATACTAACTCTATTTGTGAATATGTAAATCTGTTTGTATACATACAGTCACTAATCACTATAACCCGTACGTAACTATATTGTACACATGTCGATATTTTTGTTAAATAAAAAAATTCACATACTATGCTGTGGAAACGATTAGTTGACGGTGAACGCATATAAGTAACGTAACATATCACAAAGGTACAAGAACTATAATCAAGGGTATGAAGATTAATAAAAACCGTTATTATTATATTTTTTTTTGCATCAATTAATAAAAACCGTAAATAAATAAGACAGATGTACTAGAAATTCAACTGAATACATATATGTGTTCTATATCAGGAATATTATAATCGTACATTTAACTTTTTGAGAGACTGACATATATATGTTCAGGCATAGTATAAACCCTAAAAAAAAAAAAAAATATTCACAATAGTGATCTACTACTGACCTTATAGAAAATTATGTAATTAATCTAACCGATCGAGGTCCGTCATCAATTATATGACATAACTTAATCACTTAATGTTCATGGATTCTAATGTTAATTATGAGCTTCGATTTTATAAGACGTTGATGTAATCCTATATATTCCAAGGCATAAGCCAAATACGATCCAAGTTTACCATACTTACTGGTTATATACGAAAAGACAAAAACAATAGTCCAAGTAAACAATAGATAAAAATACGGTACATGGATGAAATTAGGGATTGCATTACACAAATAGAAAGATTGGTACGTTTTGAAATACCTAGATTCGAGAGCATACATATATTAAAGTAATACGATATTATCGAGTTGCACCTTGGTGGCCGTAATCAGCCATCATAGACTGACCTTGCTGCTGTGGCGGTAAAAGCGGTTGCGTCGACTGCGGCTGGGACTGAGTTATTTGCTTGTTGTTCACCCTTTTCCTCTTCTTTTCGTAGCTGACGCCACGTGATTTAGCCTGGAAATCTCTAACCTCCCTGAGGAAAATCCTGACGGAACGTGAGCCAAATGGGCTAGTCTCGGGAGCTCCACCGTTCTCCTCGTAGGCAGCACGAAGACGGCCGATGAGGGCGTCGAGTGAGCCCCAGGCTTGTCGGAGAGGACAGGGACAAGGAGCAGGAGGATTTGGGAGGCCAAAGAAGGCACAGTTTTGGTGGTGGACTTTGGTTTTGCCGAACTGGTCAAGGTAACGCAGGAACTCTAGGACGTGTGCGCCGCTGCAAGACGCTAGAGAGAGCGGCGGACGGTGGTTTCGGATGTATTGGCAGAAAGTGTTCCAGTCACGGCGTTTCTGGTTTTCGTAGCGGCTAAAGGAAGGTGGAGAAGCAGAAGAAGAAGGAGTTTGTGGCAAGAGAGTGGTATTAGGGTTCTTGTTGTTGTGGTTTTGAGATATCAAATCCATAGCTCTTCAGACGTTTCTAAATTAGGGTTCTATCTTTCTCTAGAATTTGAGTGATTTAGGGCAAAGATTAGGTTTTAATATAATAAAAATAACTTCTTGCAAAGATAGTTAAAAGAGGAGGACTTGGATCAATATTTCTTTGTGCTGCCAAGTGGTGAGGTAAGTGCTGCAAAAAAGGATATATTCTTCAGTGATGATAATGGTGGTTGATGTGTTGTGCAAAAATGGTGAGGCAAAGAGGAACAATCAACCTGCAAAATAAGAAGAGACCTCTCTTGCTTTTGTCAAGATGAGAGATAAAAGTGGAATCCCCCTTTTATCTACTATTGTATCTCTTGTGTTTTTTTCCTCTTTTTACACTACAGATAGAAAAGATTGGTAGAAAATTAAAAAACAAATACAGACACAAATGTGAAATGTCCATATATGTATAGACATCACAGGTTCATTTATAGAGAGAGAGAGAAAGAGATGACTGATGATCAGAAATCATAAAGTTTCCATTTAATAAGACACAAAAGAGAAATAGGAGAAGGGGACTTTGTGTTACACATTGTGTAAAAAGGTAATCCCTATATATAGAGAGACATAGACCAATGGGTCGACTGGAGAAAGAGACAAACAAACTTATGATTTTTATTTTCATCTGTCACTATTTTTCTTACTTTTCTTTTACATAATCCGTGATTCCGCACTCAAAGTTCAAACTGTTTTAATTTTTAACACATGTGGAATATTTCATATAATTTTGTTTATGTTATAAATTTATTTTCGATAGAGGATTATATATTTTTTTTTTATATGTAAAGGGTGATTATAATTTTTTTGTCCAAAAAAAAAGGGTGATTATAACTAGGATACTCTGTAGTGTAAATGTTGGATATATGATGCTCTAAAAGGGTGGCTTATTGGCGTAAGGGCAAATGATTTGATATCAGCATCACGTTTATTGTCTATAAAGCATTTTCATACTCTCTTTTCAATTCAAAACTTGTTTAATTCGTTCGTTTATTTCTCTGTGTTGTATTAAACGTCATTTCAAGGTAGTTTTTGCTAAATAATATTAAGGTGGTTGAATTTAGTAAAGGATATTTCTAAAGAGTTTTTCATTTGTGAAAGAAAAAAATAGATCAGGTACAGTACAACCTTGCACAGTCCAACATAAAATTACTTCTTTCCTTTTTTTTTGAACACAATCCAGCATAAAATTACTTAAAAGTGAAAAACCAAGCCCCTCTCTTCTGGCGCCGGTCGAGCTAAAACATTTTCTGAAAAGCAATTAATCAAAGAGTTACAGAAGAGTAGCGAATAAAAAAAACAAAAGCACATCAATAGATGAAAAACAAAATACCTGAAAGCAAGAGAGTACATAGTCAACGTCGTCGTCTGAGATTTGGTGGTGTAGAACAATCCTCATTCTGTATTAGAGAGACCATAGTTTAATTAATAATACCATTACCACTAATCACTAGATTTATTACTACGGCTAATGGGTCCGCTCATCTATTGGAGGCCTATGGCCCATTAAAGATTCAGTGATTCACCATGCAAACTCTGTATTCGAGTGGGATCATATAGCATATGATAAAAATGTAATTATGTACCTGAATGTAGATTGGGGTATGACAAGCACACCGACATCTTTCAAACTCTTACATGCATCTTCTGCTCCAAATTTTGGATCCTCTGGTATATCTACGTATATCTGCCCATACGAGTTTGTTTTATATATATATCATTTGATTTCTTAGACATAAGCTACGCTACCGGTTACAAGTGTAAACAATCAATCAGTTAGTTCATCCACTTACAATGTTGGTTTCCACTGCTGCGACGTTTACTTTTAAACGTTCAATCCGGTTCAGTCCTTCTGGTCACGTAGGAAATCAAAAACCAAAATTAACACCCGGTTAGCACTCTCATATTAATGTTAAAGATTCCGGATAAGAAATGACCTGCCAAGATCTTGGCTTTCTTGTGGTCATCATCGAGCTTGGGGACGTTTTCATTGAGAGCAACCAGTGCGGCGGCGCAGAGCACGCCGATCTGTCTCATTCCTCCGCCTAATGTTTTCCTTAACCACCTTGCCTACATTTCAACAGAGTAATTACTTGAACCGGACTTTCAAATTACTATTTAACCGTTTCAATTTTCATCCATATATAGCTACTTACTTTAGTGATGAACTTTTTGCTTCCCACGATCACAGAACCAACCGGTGCACCTATACCTTTGGACAAACAGATCTAGTCGCATCAAAGCGACCGGTTTAGATTTCAACCCTAGTTTTAATATATCAATAATACAAATGAGGCAACAAAACGTTACATAGCACGGGTTTAGTTAATGCATAAGTCCTACCGAGACAGAATCTGCTGCTTGAACAATCCTCTTCACCGGAACTCCAAGTGCCTGCCAAATCAAGATTGAATATATAAGATGGACTCAAAAGTGTATAAAGCATTAAAGAAAACGAATTGCATATATACTGAAACGTTTGTATACTAACCACAGAAGCGTTGAAGATCCTAGCTCCGTCGATGTGAAGCTTCAAACCATGTTTCTTGGCTACTTCTCCGACTTTGTCTATATATTCTACAGGCAGGCATCTACCTCCACGGCTACATCAACAGACACCGGTTTTGTCAAACCACAATGTCAATCTAACCATGATAGCCAAAACCGGTTACAACTTAATTTGAACTAAACCGAACAATTTATAATCTTTAGGCAAGCTAGGTTAACCTAATAAAGTGATTAGTACCACAGTCGTCAAGAATTTTTCAACTTAGAAGAAGAAACAGTACATACTTAGCTTGAGTGTTCTCAAGACAGATAAGCTTAGTAACGGGATGATGAAGATCTCCTTTGTGACCCCTCACGGCAGCTTCGATAGAACCAATCTTCATCGTACCGTCTTCTTCGTTCTTCACCGTCCTCGGATGCACACCACCGAGGCTTGAAACACCGCCGTTTTCGTATATGTGAATGTGGCAGTCATCTCCAAGAATCACTTCACTCCCTCTCTCATCACAATGGATCAACACGCTTATCAGATTCGCCATTGTTCCCGACGGAACAAACATCGCCGCCTCTTTTCCGGCGATCTCAGCCATTTCTTTCTCCAAACGCATGGCGGTTGGATCATTTCCCAAAACGTCGTCGTCTACTTCCGCCTTTGCCATCGCTGAACGCATCGACTCAGTTGGTTTAGTCACCGTGTCGGACCGGAGATCAACGGTTCTCACTGTAGTTGGCGTTACCATCTTGATTTGGCTAACCTAACTGCGTCGAAGATTATAACCAAATCATTAAATAAAAAATCATGTTAGAATTAGACTCGAATAAATCATATAAATTACCGAATCGTTTTGAGTTTTTAATTAGTCATACCGAGATTCTTCTCTTTATGTTTTCTGGGTGAATAGATGATAAAGAGATGTGTTTCGAGTGACTTGAGAGAGACAGAGAGTTGAGTGAACAAATCGATTACGAAATGACTACAGAGGGAATCTCAGAGAAAGAAGATCAGTCCAACCAAATAAGCGTTACATGCATAATGACAAAACAAAAAATGTGTTATTAAGTAGAGAATCTGTTTGATTATTTGGTAAAAAATGTTTTTTAAAGTTATTTGTTTATAAGTAAGAGAATCTGGATTATTTAATAATATAAAGAAAGTTATAATTTAAAAGTAAGAGAATATGTATTATATGGTAAACTATAAAGAAAAGTTATAAATTTTTTTGACACCCATAATTTATGAGTAAGAGAATGATCTGTAATTCTGTATTATATGGGTAAACTAAAAAAGAAAAAAATAATAATTTATAAGTAAGAGAAACTGTATTATATAGTAAACTATAAAGAAAAAGTTGTAAATTAAAGTAAGAGAATCTGTATAAATTACAAGTAAGAGAGTATGTATTACATGGTACACTATGGAAAAGCTATAAATTTATAAGAAGAGAATATGTGTTGTCAGCAATATGAGACCAGTTGTTTGTATGATAAAGGTAGGATTAAGTAAATTATTAGTGTTTGCGTGGCCTAATGGATAAGGCGCTCGCCTCCGAAGCGGGAGATTGTGGGTTCGAGTCCCATCGCGAACGTGTTTTGTTTCAGCAATTTACTTATTTCATTGCAACTTAGAAAACAAGTAAACAAACACACAAATGACTCTTACTCCCACGAATGTGTATGCGTCGGCTAATAGGGCAATCAGTAATTTATGCTCGTAGATATAAACTTCACAAATACTGAAGAAGATGATTACGTAACCAACGCTGACTAATAATCGCGAGACATGCAGCAACAACAACACGAGATCACGACGTGTACAGTGGATGTACATTGTACATATATATACGTCATCAAACATCAATCAGCTATGGCTTGATTGGGGCTAATAGTATTTTAACTTTTAATGTATCAGCCATCATCTAACCTAATCTATGATGCTTTTGGATAAAGGTATCCTATATTATGAAAACATATAATGCCTATCATTAAGTTTAAAGAGTAAGAACTCCATTAACCTAACATCATCTTTTGTTATTATTAATCTTCAGAAAACTGAAAGTGTAGTTACTATGTGATTTTTTTTTCTTTGTTTCTTTCATCATATGTTTTGCTGACCAGTGGGTTGTTTTTAATATTGTTTTTTGGATCTACAAAGACAAATCGTATTGTATTTTCTAATTATATATATATATATTAGACTAATGTAGCGAATCAAAGTGGTCTTTAACTATGTATTGCCTAATAGCTAACCGGGACATGGTTTCATTAGTTTGGCCGATTAATGATAAAAGCCAACAAGAAAATGATATATTTATGATCTAATGTTTTTAGTTTTGAGAAGTTCTCAATAATGTAGTTTTCATATCTATGATCTCTACAATACAGTCGATACTATTAAAATATATAATACCTAACCAATGAAGCCTCTTAAAGTAGATATACGAGTGGATAACCATTAACCATCCCATACATATAAGCTTTAAAGAAATCATGAAGAGGACCCGAATAAGACCTTCACAATGACAATCTATAAGCCAACTGATTATTTAAATAATTCAGGCATCTTAACAAACCATTAGATATGATCCATTATATACTAAAATAAGCAGATATATTCCAAAATGATTATATATTAGAGATGGTTTAGTTAGGTTATAAAAAGCATGCCACATGCACTTTCTTTAATGGACAGACATTTGAATATTTTAGAGTTTATCGTTTATGTCATTTGAAAACTACGAAAGGTCTCATATTCAAATGATTTAACTAATGTTTCAAAATTCATGGTTTATGGTCGATAATAAGGCATCTTTAGAATAAGGACATGTTGAGCATGTTTTCTTCTGCATTATACTTATATACTATGATGAACGAACTACTGTATATTGTTTTAATATGCTTAGATTATTAGATTCCCATCTTAGAAAATATTATATAGTTCAGGTCAATCAGGTTCAGGTGATATATGTAATTAGCACACTAAACAGACAATTGATTAATATTTTGCTAAACCGATTATATTCAATGGCGGCAGTGTAAGAAGTGTAATGCCGCCGTTGGTTAATAGAGTTCTGTTAACTTGCTAGGCTTTTGCTTCTGGAAGCTTGACTTTTGAAACAGAATACTGTTTTAAGTTTAACCTCCTCAAGCGGAATATTCTTTCTTTTTATTTTAGATTCTGTTCCTCTATATTAATAACATCTCTCTCTCTCACTCTCACAAGAATCAGAGATTAATACTAACTAACTATATTAAAGCAAGAAGAGAATATTCCGATGACCGGAGAATTCGAACTAGAAAACAGCTACAAGCTTTGCGACGAGATCGGCCGAGGTCGATTCGGAACTATCACTCGCTGTTTCTCACCGTCGACCAAACAGTTCTACGCATGCAAAACCATCGACAAGCGCGTGCTCGTCGACGCCCTAGATCGCGAGTGTATTGAGACGGAGCCGAGGATCATGGCCATGTTACCGCCTCATCAGAACATCGTCAGGATCTTCGATCTCTTCGAAACAGAGGATTCTCTTGCCATCGTCATGGAACTAGTCGATCCACCGATGACGATCTACGATCGGTTGATCTCCACCGGCGGACGGTTATCCGAATCGGAATCGGCTTCCTACGCGAAACAGATCCTCCGCGCGCTCGCTCATTGTCACCGGTGTGGCGTCGTTCATCGTGATGTGAAACCTGACAACGTTTTGATCGATCTCGCAAGCGGCGGAGTTAAACTCTGCGATTTCGGATCAGCGGTGTGGTTAGGCGGAGAGACGACGGCGGAGGGAGTCGTAGGAACGCCGTATTACGTGGCGCCGGAGGTTGTGATGGGGAGGAAGTACGAAGAGAAGGTTGATATATGGAGCGCCGGCGTAGTGATATACACGATGCTAGCTGGAGAGCCGCCGTTTAACGGCGAGACTGCGGAGGAGATCTTTGAATCGGTGCTAAGAGGGAATTTGAGGTTTCCGCCGAAGATATTTGGATCGGTATCAGGAGAAGCGAAGGATCTATTGAGGAAGATGATCTGTCGCGATGTTTCCCGGAGATTTTCTGCAGATGATGCTCTTCGTAAGTTGGTCTTTATTCGTCTCGTCTCTCTCTCTGTTTCATGCTCTGTTTTCAAATGATTTAATAATTTTATGTTTTAATGAAAATTGCAGGTCATCCATGGGTGATGAACGTTGGCGACCTGACCTCGTAAGCAATTAGTCGAAGCTCTCTATAGAGTTAATTACGATATGGATTTAGAGTGGTGTTACTATATTAGAAGTGTTTGTGTGTGTGTTTATAATATGCTCGATTCGAATACTCGTCAAACGTAGGCGTAGCTGTGGTTTTTTTAACAATCCTACGGTTTTGGCACTAGAGAAGTAGTTGCTTAATTAGCTTTTTTGTTTTGTTCAAAAAAAAAAAATAAAGCATTTTTGTAAACTAGTAGGAATAAAAAATTAGAAACGCTAAAACTATAAAAGGGTTCTTTTTGGTTGGGCCTAGCAGAGCAGACTTAAGATGGTATGGGCTAGATATCGAATTTCAGGCCCGTTTTCACCAAATGACGTGCGTAAAGCGTAAATGAAAAGTTGTGTTTTCAATTTCTGCTCTAAAAATCTCCTTTTTTTTTTTTGTTAATGTAATAGTTGATCTAGTTGTGACTTGTGAGTCTTGTGAGTTGTGACTTGTGAGTCTTGTGAGTTGTGACAAAAGAAAAATTTTCTTATAATTTTTTTGTACAGTATATTTACGTTAGGATTTGAAAATAAGACATTTGTTTATAGAAAAGAAGTAGAAAAGACAACTGTGATAAGTTAACATCATTTTCCTCCACTAATACGAGAGAAATATCTTTTTCTTGGTTCAACTAGGAGAAATATCTTTCCTTCTTTTTTCTTTTCTTTTTGTTTAAAAGGAATATACGATTTATACCAATCCGGTTTAAAAAACCAACCGGTTGATTTTGTCATAATGATTTGAGTTCGAGATAAGAAGACCACGTTACCGTCTTCGTCTTCACTCACACTCTGCAACACCACCTTACCATGTTTTCTCTCAAATCCTCAATCTCCTCACCTTTCACACAATCCACCACTCATGGATTATTCGCTAACCCGAATACCCGACCCGTTAATCCGTCACCACGTACCGTTTCCTTTACCGTTACAGCTTCCATGATACCCAGAAAAAGCTCTGCTAACTTGATTCCCAAAAACCCTCCGGCTCAGCGACAGCTTTACCAACCATTCCGGCCACCCTCGTCTCCGATTCCACCTCAATTCCGTTCACTCGATTCCGCCGGCAAAATCGAAATCCTCTCCGGTCGATTGGCTCTCTGGTTCGAATACGCACCACTCATCTCTTCTCTCTACTCCGAGGGCCTCACTCCTCCCAACATCGAAGAGCTCACTGGAATCACAAGCATCGAACAGAACCGTCTCATCGTCGGCGCCAAAGTTCGTGATTCTATTCTTCAGTCTCTCCATGAGCCGGAGCTCATTTCGGCGTTCGACACCGGCGGTGCAGAGCTTCTCTACGAAATCCGTCTCCTCAGCACCACGCAGCGTGTTGCGGCCGCCACATTCATCATCGATCGCAATATTGATTCGAGAGGCGCCCAAGACTTGGCGCGAGCCATCAAGGATTATCCTAGCCGGCGTGGAGACGTTGGGTGGTTGGATTTTGATTACAATTTACCAGGAGATTGTCTCGCCTTCTTGTATTACAGGCAGAGCAGAGAGAACAAGAACCCATCGGATCAGAGAACCGCTATGCTTCTACAAGCATTGGATGTTGCGCAATCCGAAAAGGCCAAGAACAAGTTGAACAAGGATCTATACGGCGAGAAGGATGACGAGAAGGCGAAGGAGAAGGAAGACGAAGTCATAACTGTTCGGGTTCCGGTGGTGCGGCTTAAGTTTGGAGAAGTAGCAGGAGCTAGCTCGGTCGTGGTTTTGCCTGTTTGTAAAGCATCCGAAGGGGAAAAGAAGATTCTTGAAGCCCCCATGGAGATCATAGCGGGAGGGGATTTCAAGGTGGTTGAAGCGGAGAAAGGATGGAAGAGATGGGTGGTGCTTCCGGCGTGGAACCCAGTGGCAGCGATTGGGAAAGGCGGTGTAGCGGTTTCTTTCAGGGATGATAGAAAAGTACTGCCTTGGGACGGAAAAGAGGAGCCTTTACTCGTTGTGACCGATAGGGAGAAGAATACGGTGGAGGCCGATGACGGGTATTACCTCGTGGTAGCTGAGAATGGACTGAAACTAGAGAAAGGATCAGAGTTGAAGGCCAGAGAGGTCAAGAAGAGTTTAGGGATGGTTTTGTTGGTGGTGAGGCCGCCAAGGGAAGATGATGATGACTGGCAGACGAGTCATGAAAACTGGGACTGAAATATAGAATCGAATACCCATATCCTGTGTAATAGATTACTGAGTGATGATCATGTAAAATTTTTGGATAAAGGTGGATAACTTTTTGTTCTAAGTCACAATCAGAAACTGAGCAAGATTTTCTCTATTTGCATTCTAGTTCCTGTCTTAGTGTGAAAAACCCTGCCAAATGCCAATCAGACTTTTGTTTTGGTAAATGTTTTATCAACCGAGCCATTGCTGTGCACGGCGTTCACCGCTAGCTCCAACTGAGCTTCGGATGCTCATTTTCTCGTTGGCGTATTTATCCTGAAGCGCTTCAAAAGCTGTCACGTCGAGTTTTCCTGTGACAGATTTGCCTTGCTTCCTACGGAGATGTTGTTCACGAACAGAAGCCCAGAGTTTCTCAACTGCTTGTCTCTGCTGTGATGTAAACCTTGACACGTTCTCAAAAGCATGTTTCACCAATATGTCTATAACAGTTTGGCACCTGAAAATTAGTCCAATCATTCCTCAATTTCGCAGTTCTGACATAATAACAAGTTCACTGGTACATATTAAGTTCAATGGATCCTGAAAATCCTGGATGCATTCTTACCATGGAACTTTGTAACGGCGTGCAGCAATCTCCAAGCATGTAATCAAAGCTTCTCTTTTTGACCTGAGAAACCTCTTACTCTCCTCGGCTTCTGTATCTTCATTTGTTTTCCTTATCTTTGTTTTACAATTTTTCTTTCCGGAACTGGGAATCAAGGCATCTAGCCCAAAGGGGTCAGACTCGACATTTTCATTATCTTCAGCTGAAGCCACGTCCTGCGTTGTCTGGCCATCTCCGTTATCCTTCACCGCCGCTTCTTCAAGAATAGCTGCTTCTTCCACATCCTCCTCCTCAATTGAAACCGGAAGATCAGATATAGCCTCCTTTATTCGAGTAGCAGTCTTGGAAAACTAAACGAAAAATAAATGTAAATGAGACACTAATGAAAACCACAGAGGATAACTATCAAAACAACAATATCCATGTAACAGGTCCATAACACAGTGACAAGGCAATCTAGATTCTAAAAGTAAGCAAGTAAAGCAAAACATATTCCAAAACATTGGACGAAGTCAAAAACTAAGGTACACGACGTTCTTACCATAAAGCTGTCATCAGTGAAAAGGTCATTAGCAACAACTGCTCTGTATGTCCATATCGTCAACAGATTCTTCTGGCTTTTGTCAAGGCACTAATTGAAAACAAAAGATAAGAACTTTCATCAAAATCTGCCCCTTCTGCACATGCTAAATGATTTAGTACAATATTTTCAACCATGAATATTATATGTTTACCTCGGCTACATCTTGTGCAGCTGAGAACAATGCATGAAAGTCTGCTCGAACCAAGCGATCTGTACAAGGAGTTTTTGACGACATGGCAGCTTCAAGTATGGCAATGAAGTAGTTGCTTGTTTCTGGCTTCACACTTCCAGCTTGGATCAGCCGTATCGCGAGCTTTGAGGCTTTGGAGAACTTGGAAGGGTTCTTGATATGAGATGTTATCTTCTGCATCGCTTCTATTACTTGTTCCTCTGATGCATCGGTTGATGTCTTAAACTGTAGACGCTTTTTAGGGGCTGCAACTACACAATTAAAGAGAGCAACAACTCATAAACAATTCCAAACCAATTTACGTTTTTGGTGTATATTAGCTACTTGCATCAGCTGATTCAGCTTGTACCTTCCGGTTCTGGTTCAGGTTCTGGTTCCGGTGTAGATTCAGCTGGTTTTGATCGCTTTAGTGCGCTCTTGAGAACAGGAGGAGCTGTGACATTTGAGCACTAAATCAGATCAGTAAGAGAAAGACCAGCGGCTAACTTCGATACCAAAATTGGGGTTTTTTATGCGTATTTGAATGTTATACTAAGTCTGACTGAAACTCTCAGCAAGTCCCCTGATGCTATAGAAGTGAGCTAAATGCAGGAAATAAGAAAAAAACGCAAAAATCAACGAGCAAAAAGGAATCGAATGAAAATTAAACTGAGCCAGTTCCGAAGTAATTGTTGGAAAATTAAGCTTACCTGAAACATTGGATGCAGATTGTTCTGGCTTCGATCGCTTCAGGGCACTCTTGAGAACCAGAGTCGGAGCTGGAGAGGAAGTTTCATTCTTCGACTCGTCTGGTTTGGGAGAAATTGGTGGCTCTTGCTGCTGAGATGAAGAAGGAGGTGGCAGCCCTGAGAATAGATTGTCCGCCATCTCTGCCTCTCGCCGGTTCGTTCGACGGAGACGAAGACAGGAGGAGCCTTAACTGAGCTGTGTTCACCTTTTGGGCCTTTTATTGAAAACATTCTCGGCCCATACCGCTTTACGTAATCCAGTAACGATATTATTAAATCAGGGAACTGAACTGATGTGTTGGAAATGGGATGAAAGCTTTGTTTCCTAATTTGGAGTAAGATATCCATAATTCAATATTTACCTTCATAGACTCATACAAATCATCCAACAAAGTGTTACTTAACTAAAGAGATAAGAGTATAAGACTTGTTAAAGTCTATAGAAAATATCACACACAAAACATGCAAATCATATATATATATAGTTGATTTTTACACAATTAATTCTTTTTGTTTTCATTATTGTGTGTGTTATGTAGTCCCGAGGAGTTCAACCACCCGTTGGCTTTTTGTCCACCTCGATTAAATTAATCAACAAATAATGTTTTAGCTATATTTTTTATACATAAATTATGTTTTAGTTGAGAGTTGTTGAGTTGGAAAAAAAAAAGAACAGTAGAAATGACTAATATAAACGACTTTTAAATCTTTTAATAATTTGTTAGTTTTACTTTGGTCATAATAAAATTTAGAATATATGAATATAATATAGCATATGTATACATCAATAATGAATTGTTTATATTAATTAAATAAATAGAAGTTAACATTAGAAGGCGATTAACCTTTACGTTAGAGTTTAGACAATGGATGTGGCTGCAAAGATGTAGTATTGGTTAAATTTGCCATGTTGAGGAGTCACTGAGATAGATATAAATCATTATAGATACATTGACTAGAAAAACCTATTTTTGCTACAACTAGTATTAAGGAGTAAGTTTTAGTAAGTATGTTTGATCCATCGATACATAATCTCATAGCTAGTTAAGTTTCTTACGATGCATACTCTAATATTATTCCTACCAAATATATTATTCATAACCTTACTTTACCGCATGCATATGAATATTTTGAGTCAAATGAGTGTTTTCACAATTAATATATGTATTGAAACATGAAATAGTCATTCCTAATTGTATAAAGTATAA